CCTGGAGGTATATGGCGAAGCAGATCCTGGTTCGACAGGGTTAAATATTCGCGACTGTGACCATTTCATCGGTGGAGTGCCTGATAGCTTTCCAAGGATCGCGTAAGTGGCGTGACGTATTTTCGTTTTCAGATTTTCGATGATGAGCATTGTTTAAAGAAAGTCAATTTTATTAGGTGGTTTGACTACCACATTCAGTGGAAAGGCTTCTACGGTTGTATTCGATCCGTGTCGCACGGCTACGGTCAAAAAATCGACATAGCGAAAGCGAATAAGTCTTTGCATGTCGAGGACGGCTGCGTCGAAACCAACGGCCGGTTGACCACCGCAGACCGCGTGATTAGCTTCAGTGGACGAGGCGTGTTTGAGATGCAGGGATTTGCGTTCGGCGTCGATTCGTCTTTGGCATTCAACTTCCTTACCGAATCCGCCAACGCCGTGCTCTTTTATGAATCGAATCAGCTGAAGTCACGTCGCCGCCGCCAAGTAGCCGAAAAAGTTAGTTCTTTCCTACCTCTGGTCACCACTCAAAAAACTTTTCAGTCTGTTTTGCAGGAGTTCTTTGCTGCTTACTTGTCCAGCGGTCATTTGGTGGTTCATCTCGGAACAGGCAGGAGTTTTTCTGTCACCCTTGAAACCGAAAACGTATATAACGACGGGCGCTTGCATGCCGTATTCATCAGACGTCAAAAAAACGGGTAAGCAGAGAGCGCATCACAGCTTCACGCATTTGCCTTGTTTTTAAGAGTCTCTTTGTTCGTCAACGACCATTTGATGGATACCGTCTCCTTTCCGTCGAGCGATACCATCGGTTCGTTGCAGTTTGTGCTATTTCTGGGCGGTCTCGGTAAAAGCGACGCACCTGCTGACGAACTTCCGGTCACCAACCCTCTCACCGGCTGTCTGTCAGACTTTTTCTTAAACTTCAAGTTCTATATTTATTACTTTCGTCGTTTGCACCTTGGCCACTACTGATGTTTGTTTTTATAGGCGACTGTCGTTAATTCCGCAATATTTAGAAAATGCTCAGTTAGGATACTGCGTCAGTGTGTTCTCAGATGGACTGTACGGTAAAGCACATGAATAACCTGGCCGTTTTGCTGGTGTTTTTGTTTTTCTTACGTGTCGAACCTGTTGCTGTTGGAAAATTGGCGTACACGTGTTTTAGCGTTCATTTCAGGCTAATATGTGGACTATTTAGAAAGTTTCAGACTTGTTTCTGTGTTTCTGTCTACGTCACGTGCAAACTTCGCGTTGACAATTGCTCAATGTTCGTTTTTGTTGTTTTGCTTGAACCGTAACACCTCCCATTTTTGGCAAAGAAATTCATGGGCGCAGTTCAGTGAATTTTTTCTGTTTATTTATTTTCAGTCAGATGAAGGCAGTCTTTGATGAATAGTGTGATTTCCAAATTTCAGTTATTTACTGCAAAAATAGCTCTTGCGCTCTCTAGGTAGGGATGGTGAAAGGCATGGGCGCAGATACCGACCACTACAGCTTCCTTCTGTGCCGTCTGATTGCAGGATTGCGCACGAACTATAAGCATAGTTAATGAGAATATCTTAATATACATCTCGAATTTTGTGCGAGAAACATAGCTAATGAGACATGAGTTACGCAATGTAGATGGTTATTTGCGGGACTTTACACCCACTAGCTTTGTCACAACTTGACAAATAAAATGTTTTCAGCTCGTATTCAACTAGCTATCAAAACAACTCTTAAAACGTGGGATTATAACTTTTAACCGAGATCTTTTGCAATTTAGCTTATCTTTCTTGTTCATATCTTTAATTTGGGAGGGGGAGGTGTTGTGTTAAAGCTTGGTCAGTCGCCCTCTAAACTAGTTCGATGACCTTCGAAATTAAACCAAACGAATATATGTTCCTCGATCTGGACGATTAGCGGCTTGCCTAGCTTAAACGACCACACAGTTTGCAATGCAGCTATGGTGTCGCTGGATTGACCCTTGCTCAGGCACAAAGCAGAAACTGTAGAACAGACTAATATTCGAAACGTTTACCAGATTCATTTGTACAAGTGTGGCAAACTATACACTAAGCTCTATTCTTAGTACTATTTTCCTTTCCAAAAAAGTGTTTATCTTCATTTCCAAAGATCCTGTTTTTGTTTGATTCAATTTTGTACGTTGCTGTTGACCTTCGCAAAAGTGCTTTGTGAAAGAATGTATGACGTTTTGTCGTACTCTTGGGTTTTACTGTTTCTTGTTTCTGTTGTCAGTGATAACTTGTACGAAAGTGAATTTTATAAGGTATGCCAGCAAGTGATCCACTGTTAGCTGATAGCACTGGTAGCGTTTCTTCATTTCATCTTTTCTCGAAGCGTATGAAATCCATTCCAGTGTTAGAACATCCAAGTGTTCTGCAGCAGAACAGCAGCTTTGATGACTACCCAGGTGATTGCATTGCACAGTATTGGCGTATGTCGAGAAAACGATTATATATATAGCATGTTTGTGGTATACTCTGTAACCAGTTTGCCAAAAATTGACATTGACGGTGCATTCAACAGTGACGCTTTCGCGTTTCACCATTCCACGGCATTTTATGCCTAAATGCATGTCATGTTCATGCGTGCATGCAGCGGGCTGAATGAAATTGTTTGTTCTTGTCCTCGGCACACCCTCATCATTTCATACTCAGAAACAATTTTTAGAACGTGGATTGCCTCAGAAAGCGCCGCCACTCATCGATGAGCAAACGCCGGCCATGCATCGGCTGCTTTCGTCGATGACGACAGCGACCGCCGCTACAGCGTCAACGGCCGCTTTCTCACAGGTATGGGTCGATTTATTGGCTGTCGCACCGTTTGACTCCGCCACCATCGTAATCCATTTTTACCTATTAGCTTGCTTTTTCTCAGGCACGTTGTTCCTCGTCAAGTTACGCCAGAATCGTGGATGACGCCGCGTTTTACAGCAACGACGAAAGCTTCACGCGCATTCCGCTCGAAACATCTTTCGGCAGTAAAAGGTATCGAGCGCTATTGGTTTATCATATTCGAACAGTTGCGAGTTGCAATTCAGCCATAAGCCTATCGCTAATGCTACACTGCAAAACTCATCGTTGAAACGGGTGCCTTCCTGAGAAAGGGGCGATGCTTATTTTCGGATGGGTGCAAATCATAGGTCTGCTGTACTTTCGAGAGCCATAACATGGCTTTCAGGAGTTGTTTGTGGAATTCTGTAACTCGCACGTGAGATTGCGCATATATGAGGCACCTGTTGACATGATGCACAGTTTGCATTTCACTGCAATCACAAAACGAAGGTGCATTTAACTTCGTTTTTTGCATGATATAGGTATTTTTTATGCGATCTCATTTCATCAAATTCTTGCATAGAAACAGAAAAGCGAGCAACTCCAAGATAAATATTTGGCTTTTAACTTCCGACTCGGCGTTCTGCGTGAACTCGCTCGAACCATTGTGATTAAGGCAGATCTGAGTGTGAGCCAAGACTAAGCTCTCGGTGTTCAAGTCGATCTTCATCCCCATATCATTATTCGTGGGCCATGGCTGATAAAATTCGATCCCGGGTACTAGCGTCTGAAATGGACTTTCTTAGACGAGTCGCTGTCTTAACGCGTCTCGATTTGGTCTGGAATACACACTGCCGCAGAGAACCTTGGTATGCAGGCGCTGCTTTTTCAGATTGAGAAGTCACAGCTGTGATAGTTTGGACATGTGCTGCGAATGCTTCCAGAAAGGAAGGCGAAGCAACTACTTTTTGCCAAGCCGACCGGCGGAAGGCCCAGGAAAGGGCCAAGATTAACCTGGTGCCTATATATGGAAGGAGTCTGTTCCAGACTCCAGGTTGTCTTCTGCTGAAGTTCAGACTCTGACATTAGCGGAACGATGGAAGCATTGTGTGATGCGTCTGCTTGCGCACCCCGAATAGAGAAGCGGTTATGGAAAATGAATAAAACTTCTGAGTCGTTCCATAGGACTTGCTTTCGATCGTCTGTGATGTTACTGATCGAAATCAGTGCTTCTTCGGTTCTCGAGCGCACTGGAAAGCGACAGACGTGTGATGTCCTTCTTCGTTGAGAGTGATCCGTTTTCGAAAGTTTTATTCTATCATGACAGTGTTCCGCTTTCTCTTCGGTAGACAATAGTGTGATGCGAGCGTGCGTTAACTGTCAGGATATGGACGCTTAATTAACGGTTTCAGTGATAACACGCATTCACTTTGGAGTTCTACCGTGTTGGTGTATATTCTGAAAGTAATCGTTTGTAGAATAAATCAGATCCAACACTATCTTTCAGAGCGTTTGCGCATAGCCTCCCCTGCTGGTTCCGCCGGTTGTTGAGGCGAATTTTTATTGTTTCACCGCTGACGTGGTTTCAGAAGGTGAGTGTCTAGCCAGCAGTTG